CCTGATTTCTCAGGTGTTGTATGAGTGACAGCTAAACTCTAAATTTGGATTTTTATAGATGAATTGTTCACTAAACATCTAATTTTAATTCCACCCAGAAGACTACATCAGAATTTTGTTGATCCTAGAGTTTATACAACTTGAATTTCACATGATTTAGGAAAAAGAATGCAAAATTGTGAACACAAAATTGAATGTTTACCTAGACCTATTGATCATCACAAGTTATAAAGTTTAAAGAATTACCAAATACAACAAAGATTAAAAATGTAAAAAAAATTATTACAGTATTATCTTTATTATTTAAAGATAGACATACCCTAAAATTCTTCTTTTCTTTTTTTCCTTTTTTTTTTTTTTTTTTTTTTTTTTTTTTTTTTTTTTTTTTTTTTTTACCTATTCTGGTTACAGCTTAATAAGACAAAGATTTTTGTAGCATTATTTTCTGTAGAGAGGTTGGAAAGACAATTCAATATTTTCTCTGGTTTGGCTATTCACAATTTATTCAAATTTAAAAAAAATAAACACTAGTGAGTTCTGTTCTAATACTAGTCTGCAAAGCTTTGCTCTCTGTGGTGTTGTCCATGGTGCTGATGTGAGGTTGGAATCCTGTTTCCAAGTGATGATCAAGGCAGACAGAAAAAGAAAATTAAAAACAAAAAAAATCTTATATTTAAGGAGAACTTACATCTTAAGAATATCGAGACATCCAATCCAGGAGCATGGAAGAGGTCTGAATTTGTTGGTATATTCTTTAATATGTTTCAGCAATGTTTGGATTTTGCCAGTGTGAAGAGCTTGCCCGCTTGTATCAGATTTATTCCTAGGTATTTGGTCTTCCAGACCCTTCACTATCCGATTGGATCCGATTCACCTCCAATTCCTTCCTGGCTGTGGCTGCTGCAGAGGGCAATAAACAGAGCACCTGCGCTGGCAGGGCCCTGAGCTGGGTGCAGAGTGCAGAGCAGCCAACAAGGCAAACAGTTTAGTTTAGAGACAGACATTAAAGGGATAAGGATTGAGCTCTTTTTAAAGTCTGTATAAAGGGACCCCAAGGAAATTGGTAACAAAGAGACTTGACATAATCTCAGGAGTAAATGAGTGAGTGAGTGAGTGAGTACCCCTAGGCAGTGCTCTTCGGACTGACACCTGGTGGATGAGGCCGTGATCCATAGTTCATGGCATAAATTGTGATAAATTGTGTGTGTATGTGTGTGTGTGTGTGTGTGTGTGTGTGTGTGTGTGTGTGTGTGTGTGTTCTAAATGTCCTTTTGAGAAGGCAAAGGGGAAGCTTTAGTGGTAGTTGTGGGGCATCTCTGATGATGCCAATGAATTTAAACTATTTATTAAGTACCCAGTCACCTCATACCATTCAGGACCCACACTTGGTTGTCTGAAGTTCCTGCTCCAGGCTGCTTTGAGCACATTGAATGTAAGCAGGCATGAGTCTTAGTGCAGGCCTGATACATGGGATATGAAATGTGCATCAGGTGGTAATACCTGATACAAGAGTTTCAAGTTTCCCTTCACATGCAATCCAAGTCCAGACCCAGTTACAAACCACAGCTACACTTTGATAGGTAGCTCAGTCCTCAGTCATGTGCTGAATTGCTTTCCTCCAAAAAGAGGCCTCTCTTGCTCCTAAGCCTGAGTCCACTATCTCACCCTGCCCCCAAGTCAGAGTGGAAGGGGACTTGGGCAAGTCATGAAAGGTTTCCCTTCTTATTTCCAGATTTAAGTCTGGAGGTTTTTAGTATTTGGAGACTGGTTTTTCAACATTGTAAATGAATCCTTCTTACTACAATAGTGAAAAGTATGAAATTCTCAGGTTCACTTGTGCTTTTGGTCATTTAGACCAAATCTGATAAAGTCTTCATATGTTCCTGAATTTATGTACCTGTACTGCATTTTCCAGGAGAGAAATCAGGCTTCAGTGAAAGAATTTGTGTGATCACAGGTTGGTGATTGCAGGTGTGGGCAGGTCAAAGGGCTAAGGGATTTGGCCCAACAGGGAGTCTAATGGAAGAAACGAGCAGGAAAATAGCAAGTTGAATAAGTACTGTCAGCCAGTTCCTGTGGCTGTGCTGGATCTGAAAACAATCCAACCTCAAGGGGAGAACGTGCTTCCATAGGCTTTCCAGTCCTGAGTGGACACTTTTGTCACTGCACAGTGACCAGGCCTGGATGAATAAAAACATAGGGCCCACCTGTAATGTTGTGAGTTCTTGGTTGCATGCAGGAATGATTTCACAGAACAAGGTGATTGTGAGACTGTTTCTGAAAGTTGTGGATGGTGAAATAAAGGAAGGGTTTAGGATAGGTGAAGCAATAGGAGAGCCAAGGTGGGGTTGCCTGTGGTCACTAGAAACATTATCAGGAAGAAGTGGGCAAGGTGGGGCTGCTGTTAGCTAACTGGAAAATCAGAGAAAGGTGGGGCTGGAGACGGCTTTTGGGAGTCCCTTAAAGTTTAGGTGATGCACACGCTGGGGGAAGGAGATAGGAAAGGGCAAGACATGGATGTGCTCCCAGGAGGGAGAGGGCTCATGCTGGGTCCTTTGTTTTGAGGGTTTTTAAAGGCTGGAATTTTAGGGCAGGTCTTAGGGGAGATGTCAATACAATATTCCTGAGTTTTCCATGTGATTCCTTTCAGAATCATGGCCTTCACTGATTGGTTGACACAAGTCATGGCAGCTGGGGCTTGTGTGGCCCACAGGGTTTGTTGCTTTTCTGAGCCTGGAGCTCAAATACAACAGAGGCCTAGATATCATCTCTAAGGAGGTGACCTCTGTAACTGACAGAAAATTGCTCAGCTAGTTTGTTCAATTGTCTGTCTCAGTTTCCCCATTCTATTTGCCAAAAAGTTTCCTAGCTTCTGACTATTCTGTCTCATTCTGACAAATGTTTCTTCCCCCAAACTAGATCGACAATACATCTCAACAAATAAAGGTAATTTTTCATCAAAGATCTCAGCATTACTAATGACTTAGACCTACCTGCCATGAGGATTTTCTCAAGTAATAAAGAAAATGTTTCTACCTGGACTGCTTCTCATGTGAAAACTTCCTGCCCCTTACCTTGTTGGGGGGTGGAGAGGGCCTGGCCCAGCAGTCAGGTGTCTGTTCAGTAATAAATCTGTCTATGATTTGGCTGTGCTACATTGCAGAACTCACTTTCTTTCTACTCGAAGAGTGATTTTCCTTCATTCCTTCCTTTTTCCCTATCTCCATTCCCTAGCTTCTTTTCCTTTAATTATTTGTTATGGGAAATTTCCATTTCAAACATCACCAAATGTAGAGACAATAGTACAATAAGCCCTCATGTACTCATCAGCTTTAACAGTTATCATCCTATAACCCATCTTGTGCATTCATACCTCTACTCACCTCACCCTTAGCTTCTTTTTTTAAATTATCATCCAAGAATGTGGGTATTGGTTTGTTTTTTTTAGAGAGAGGGGAAGGGAGATGGAAAAGGAGAAAGAGAGTGACAGGGGGGGGGGCGGGATTGGTTGCTCACGTATGTGCCCCGAATGGTGATCCAACCCAAAACCCAGGTATGTACTCAGACAGGGATCAAACAAAATCTGCAACTTTTTTTCCAGTGTACAGGACAATGCTTTGTCCAACTGAGCCACTGGGCTAGAGCACCCCTGGCTTCTTTTGAAGCAAATCCCTAAATATCAGTAAATTCATCTGTAAATATTTCAGAATTACATAACTTATCCATTGCTGTTGTCTAGTTGCTAGAAATAGTGATGGATCTGAGAGATCATGATTTTGTGGGATGACATTTTGGGCTGGAATCAACTGAACCGTTCTTGTGTAGGTTTTGTCTGCTCTCTTGTGCGGGTGTAGTAAGCTGGTGACTTCTTTAGGGTTGGACAGTCCCTGATGGCCTCACTCACATGTCTGACAGTTGATCAAGGAGCCTTAGTTCTCCACCTGGCCTCTCCAGCAGGCTCACTTGGGCTTGCTCCCATGGTGTCAATATTCCATGAGTTCCCTTTGGCAAGAGGGAATCTTTCAATTAAAAATTTTTTATTTTACTTTTATTGTTCACATCTGTTGACACGGATGTCCGAATTTTCCCCCTACCCCATACATTTGTCCACCTAAAACCAGCCCCTAGCCACTCTTTCCTGTCACCATCACCACACGTTGTCTGTGTCTATGGGTTATGCATACATTTTGTTTAGCTAACCTCTTCCCCCTTTTTCATCTCCTCCTTCCGGTAAATGTTAGTCTGTTCCATGTATCCATGCCTCTGTTTCTATTTTATTTGTCAGTTTATTTTGTTCATTACATTCCACTTGGAAAACTTAATGGTTGAAAAACTTTATGACTTAACTTGTTTTTTATTGTTTTATTTAACTTTTTTTTTAATGACTCTAAAATGTGTCATTAATTAGGTATGCTCTAATTTATTCAGCAGGTCATCATGACTAAATCATACTTATTCAAGTGTTCTTATTACAAAGAATTTATCATTTTAATGTCCAATCTTGATTGATATATGTTGGAAGTTGACTAAGAGGATGTAACAAAAAGGCTAAAACACTGTTGGCATTAAGAGAGCCAATGGATCTACTGTGGAAACGACATGACACAAAGACTTTATTATCTCCATCTACAAAGACTTTATTATCTCCATCTAAAGGATCGATTTCTATGATCTCCCAGGACCTCTGGAAGGGAAGCCTTACCTCCAGGACTATCAATTCTTTGCCATTGATCAAGGTAGAAACATGTGTACCCTTTGGGTGGGTTCTGCTCAGAGGGATAAATACTTGGTGAGAGGCCTGTAGGCTGGATTGTAGACCCACTCACCCACTCATTTCATCACACTTAATCATGAATTTTTCCTGCTAATACTTTATCAACCACAACTTCCTCAATGAAGTTTCTATTGCACCACAATACATCCATTTCAAGGAAATAGCTGTAATTGATTCTATTTATGATAGCCCACACCTTCTCATCTGCTGGAAATCTTTCTAGAAGAGATTTAGCAAGTGAAAGGGGCCCAGAGGGCGGGGCTTCCAGAAATCATTTATAACCTGCTGCTTGCAGAGATCGCACACACAACTACAAACAATTTGGAAGAGCTGCCTAGCAGAAAGCACAACAATGGCTTTGCTACCGGTGAGTTGAAAAGGCACAGCCTTCAGTGATCCCAGCTCACTTAAGGGAAGGAGAAAAGAGTCTGAGATTTTTCCAAGATGAAAATATTGGGAATGTATTACTGGCGGTTGTGAATATATGGAAGGGAAAGGAATGGGCTAGTGTTTCTACGGTCAGCTTTTGGTGGTCTCTGACTGAGGGTAAACTCTATTGAGGCACTGTGACTTTGTGTGAGAAGAGAACAGCTGACTGGGAAGAGGCAGTATGTGCATGGGTAAAAGGGGTGAGATTGCACATTTTTCTTCATGCTTCTGAGTATGTGTGTGTGAGTACAGCTGGGGCAGTGGTTGAACAGCTGTGCATGTCATCTTGAGTAGTAGTTTTGGGAGGTATGTGTGAGTCAGTGAGTTCCATGTATTTGTATAACTGTGTGTACTATGACTTCATGAACTCCGAATATGTGTGCACACATGTCCACTTGTGAGGATTCTCCCGTACATAGTAGTGGCTGCTTAAGAGCTGTGGTTCTTTCCATGTGTATCATTGTGGCTTCTGGTGGGCAGAACTGGAGGTCTTGGGGAGAGTGGGTTTCCAAGAACTCATCTCTGAGCATTAATGAGAACAGAATGTGTCAGTCCTCAGATGCCCCTTCTCAAGAAGGCTGGGGAAGTTGAACTCAGACTGTGGGGCACAGGATTTCCTGTCTAGGTCAGCACACAGCGACTCTTCCTCCTGCCTCAGGACTCCTCCCCAGCCAGTCTTCCTTTGTCCTAACAAAAAAAAGGAGGGAGGAAGGTCTTTTAAACCAGATCCTGGCTCTCTGGGGAAGGTTGTTGGGAGAAATTGTTTCATAGAATGGATCACCTGAAGATGGAAGGAACAAAACCAGCCTCAATCCAGATAAAGATTAGTCAATATCAGGGAACAACCTGTAGATTCTACTTAATTAGTTTCCTGTCTCCCACCCTGTGTGCAGGGACTGACTGTCCTCAGCAACTTGTACACATTCCTGAAAAGGCACCATTGCCCCTGAAAATTCTGATGCGTATACATACCACACACAGGAGTCTCCTTTTCCATTATTTCCCTCTGTCTTTAGACAACTATCTTATATTAGAGTGAATTCTTATATTTTATATTTTTACATTCTAAAGCCTTATCTTCGGAGTTTCAGATAAAATTGATGGGAGGGTAGTACCCTAGAAAGGGCCCTCCCCTTCTGCTAAGACACCCCCGCATGGACCCTATACCTACCAGTGACCATGCTAAAGGTTTTACATCTATTAGCTCAGCTATTCCCGAGAACATCCTATGAAATAGGAATTTTTATAATCCTTCTTGTACTGAGAAAATGGAGGCAGGGAACAGTCAAGTAGCAGAACTCAGTCTTCATTGGTAGTAAGAGGCAGAATCAGCATTAGAATCCAGGCCACCTGGCTTTTGAACTCTTGCTGTTAACTTCAGCTTTCTCATTTCTTCAAAGACACAAGGACCTGCCTGTGGTGAGTTGGGAAAAAGAGGGTCCTCAGAGTATGTCCTTTGATGTATAACCTGCTTTGCCACTGGGCACTGTTATAGGATGGGCGACCACCCCTGGCTTTACCCCTCTCAACCACTCTCGTCTTTCCTGGCAGGTCCCATATACAAAACAGGCATGCTTATCTGTTGGTTCTTTCGTGAAAATCAAAGGGACACCTGCCATGCCTTTCAGGTGGGTATCTACAGCCCATGGGGAGGAGAAGCGAGATTATTAGAGCTTTGGGGGCCACTTCATGAATGACTGAGGTTTAAGTTTGTAGTTAGCATAATGGAAGCACAATACAGATACAAGTTCTGCAAACCCATATGGTGCCAGGCATTAAACCTACAGGTGCATGACTGTGGGTAAATGTTGAAGTCTGGGGGCTGGGGACACTCAGGCATTGGAGCTGAGGTTTATTACCAAGGGACACGGTGTTTCCAGGGCATGAAAAGTAGCCCCAGGCCAGTGACTGCTGCTCAGTGTGAGCCCTCGGCTAAGAAATGAGGCATCTCCCCAGCCTGGGAAGGACAAGCTGAAGCACCCCCCAGGGACACGTACTGCAGTGTCACCCAGGAAGGCCTTCCTTCCCCAGGAGGAGTTGGGAAGGGTGTGTCTGTGTGTGAAATGTGGGCCGCCATGAGGAAGGGTCCTTACTCAACATGCTGTGTACTTTGCCTTCAGTAAGGACACACAAATGCAGGTGGATTTCCATACTGGGAACGAAGAGGACTCAGACATCGCCTTCCATTTCCGCGTGTACTTTGGCCGCCGAGTGGTGATGAACACCCGTCAGGGTGGGAAATGGGGTGAAGAAGTGAAATCGACTGTTATGCCCTTTGAGGATGGCCAACCCTTTGAACTGGCAATCTTGGTGCAGCCATATGGGTACGAGGTGAGTGTGCCCAGGAACATCCACTGCACAAGCTCTCAGGGCTCTCACAGGAGCACAGCTCTCCCTGGCCTGGCCCCCAGAGCCACCTGTGGTTCATCTCCTGCCCCTCTCATCACAGAGTGCCCTCTGCGTGTACTGCCCTGCTCAGGTCCTTTTCCAAATCCAAGCAGGTCACGATCAGCACACATGCCTTACTCTCCATGGTGGAGAAGTTCCTGTCTTCACTCACTGCCATCATTTCCCCATGCTGTCATTCCTTCAGTTTTCATGTAGGATATTGTTCAAGTATGCATATAAATAATTATAATCAGTTTAAAATTAAGTCTTCCTACATTCCAAAACCCAGTCCCTCTCTCCAGAGCAACACTTACTAATTCGTTTATGCTCCTTCCAGAGATACTATATGCTTGTTCAACTCTATGTATCTACCTATCTACCTATTATTTATCTCTGTCTGCTTTTATTTTTAAACAAATGATGTTATAAGTTTCTCTAGAAATCACATATTGGTGACTAGATTTCATTTGTTGCCAAAGAATGTATGTTACAGAAACTAACATCATGCTATTTGTGATAGCCCCACATTATTTAATGTTTGCATAATATTTCAATAGAAGCATTTTCAGAATAATTTATCTTGGCCCTTATACATGCACATTTCGGTGGTTTCCATATTTTGATCTCATGAATGATGCTTCCCTTTGTATCACATTTTTGTCATTATCACCTCCCTATTCTTACAAGGGAGTATAATTTCAGAGGAATTGAATATCTGGTTCAAAAAAGGTATGCATTTACGGAACCAGTTTGGCTCAGTGGATAGAGCGTCGGCCTGCAGACTGAAAGGTCCCTGGTTTGATTCCGGGCAAGGGCATGTACCTTGGTTGTGGGCACATCCCCAGTAGGGGAGTAGGGGAGTGTGCAAGAGGCAGCTAATCGATGATTCTCTCTCATCGATGTTTCTAGCTCTCTATCCCTCTCTCTTCCTCTCTGTGAAAAATCAATAAAATATATTTTTTTAAAGTATGCATTTTAAATTTGAAAAAAATTAAGACCTCAACAGCCCACTTTTTCACCATAGCCACATCCATAAAGTGTCTGTTTAAACCTTCTATCATGGGGGAAGCACAAAGATTTAATGTCCTATGATTGAAGTGAGGCATTGTTCCATTTGCTTATAAGATGAATAAAAATATCCTCATTGTAATCATATGTACTATTCCTCCTCTTAAGGAATATTCAAGTTTTGGCTCAGTGGTTAGAGCATTGGCCTGCACATTGGAGGTTCTCAGGTTGGGTTCTCAGTCAAGGGCATGTATCTGGGTTGCAGGTTCAATCCCCAGCCACAAAGGGGCACATGAGGAGGCAAAAATCTGAGCTACTGGGTCATCAGGAGTAAATGGCAGTAAAGTTTAGCAGAGCTAAAATGAATGCTCTCAATAAACACTTAATGACCAATTAGCTTAGGGCACTCTGTGCAAGACCCAGAATCAGGATTCATGAAACTGTTCCTGGCCAGAGGGAAGCCCAGGAAAACATAGACAGTGCAACATAGAGTGCTAACACCTCAATGGAAGAATGAGAATCACAGAAAATAATGAGAATAACTGACTGAAATCATCACAAAAGGTAGGCTATAAAAAGAAGCATGCCTTTTGGGTTTCAGAGTGTGACTAGGAGTTTCTGGTGGATGGTGTGTGTGTAGGGTAGGAAGGGATAGGAAGATGGTAAGTTTGTTTGGTGGCATGCTGTATTTCTGACTCATATTCTCTTTCAGGTTTCAGTAAATGGTCGTGAATATTACAAATTTCCCCATCGCCTTGAACCAGGACATGTGAGGATGATACAGGTGTGGAGAGAGGTGTCCCTGACTTCAGTTTATGTCATTTAAAGAAGGATGTGACCAGACACCCCATTGTCAAGAGGATCCCTTCACCTAAGTGACTCTGTGACTCCCAGAGCTCACTAACAACATGGGTTCTCCCCCTTCCCCCACGCTTGGTCATTAAAACTCCTGAAAACATGACAAGATTTGCTTCTTGCTTTAGAGGGGGGGAAAAGAGAGAAAATCAAGAGTACGTGGTTATCACCAAGAGAGGTGTAAGAGTATTGTGGGAGAGATCTGGGTATCAAAGAGGATAAACATTTCTCTGATACAAGGAGTGAGTGACAGGCTCATGAAATATCTGGGAAGACATTGGAACCATATTCTTATGATGTGGTGCTTAGGACATGTTAGAAACTCTGAAGCCAAATCATTCCCCAAATTTCGATAGCTAACCTAAGATTTTGGCGTCTGTTTGCCCACATCATCCTATAATTGGTGGTTTGAAAAAGAAACTGTACTTTGAGGAAAATCAGGTGAAAAGTCTTAACAAACCACCCCAAAATATATTGGTTTAAAACAATAATTTATTATTATCTCTCTCCATTTTGCAGGCTTACTGCACCCATATGGGTAGTGTATCATATGGCCTTAATCAAATTGTGGTGGGAAGTGAAGTTTTCCGATGGATGCTGTCCTCATGTCTGACACTTCACTTGGGGTGGCTGAAACAGCTGGGGGCTGGCTGGTTATTTCTCTCTTCACATGACCTTATGTCTTAGACCTCTTCAAACCACAGAGGTCTCAGGGGTTGGGATTTAATGAATGGTGACTGGCTTCTGCCACAGAGAACCCTTGAAAAAGCTCAAGCAGAAGGTACAAGGGGTAATGGGACCTAGCTCTAGAAGTCATGCAGTGTCACTCCTGTCACATCCTATTGTTCGAAGGTAAGTCAGAGGGACGGCCATAATCATGTGGAGAAGACTACACCAGGGCATGGCTATGTTGCCTTGTGACTCATGACCAGGCATCCTAGACTAGTACTGTCCCACCATCAGGCTCCAGAGACATTCACACTACCCACATACCCCAAACTCTGACCACTCTGTCAGGAATTCCAAAGTGTAATACAATAATAGCAACAAGCTCAAGACAGAGTTCAGGATTTCACCATTTAAACCAGGACCTGAGTTACAAAGTGAACTGAGTATAACTCCTCATTTGCAGTTTTTTTTCAATGTGTCCACTAATGGGACAAAATTCCTCATGCATGCCAAGTCTATATGTCGAAACAGACACAGAATAAATGTAATCCACATTTTCAGAGACAGCAATAGGAGATGTATAGCACCTGCAGCTTCATATCATATCTGACAACCAGTCCGGCTCATATCTCCCCTTCACTCCAGGAATGTTTTTGTAGTGATTGAGTTCATCCTCCATTCTCAGCTTCTTTGTGTTCTTGCCAAGATATCAGAATGACAACTTCAGGGGTTCTGATTCATCTTCAGCTTCTTAGCAAGTGCAGAGGACCACTTAGCAGACACCCTACTCAGAAGACACTATTCCTAGAAACATACCAAGGCAGATTTATGAAAGTGGGAAGGAGGGTCACTAAGGGGAAAAGGGGGATATCTATAATACTTTCAACAACAAAGATAAAAGTAAAACAGAGCCTAGTACATCAAAACAGAGGAAATAGCCTCTTTGTCCACAAGAGCTATCTCAGGCATCAATCGTGACATCTCTCACCATGTCCACTACCACAGCGTCTTCTTCAACTCCAACCTTACTAACTGGAACGATTCTTTCCTTAGCCTTCCTCCAACCTAACTCCCAGAAGCCTTGAGGTGGCAACACATTGCTCATGGCACTGTTCAGCCTCTCTTCTGGGTTTCATTTCATGGGATGAAATATCCCTCTCACGATCCATAAACTCGTGAGCTTTCATTAGGCACAATCTCCTCCTTTCACCTTCTTTGTCTTAATCTTTGTTACTCCTCACCCAAGGATATCTTATCCCATTGATTTTTTAGAGAAAGAGGAATACCTAGACAATCTTACCTGACGGCCTTGCTAAACAAACTCACAATAATTGCTCTTTCTTTGAACGATATTCATCAACTCAGTTCACTTCACATGGCTCATTGCACCCATCTTTATCTGCTTTGTGCTCATGGTGGCCAGTAGTGATGTCTCAGATACTAAGATATGGCATTGAGAGCCCAGGGATCAGTGTTCAATAAGAAATCTTTGAAGTGTCTCTGAGGACTTCCCCAGACCCCATTTTCCTCAATCTTCCTCAATCCAAATCTCCCAGCAGATAAGGCACATCTCAGATAATAGAAAGACATTCTTTTTCCCTAAAGCTTCTCTTCTCAGCATCTTTTGCTTGTCCATGACTGATATGCCACCTTCAAAACAGGTAGTTCTGGGACTCTGGACTTATTTTCACTCATCTCAGTCTATCAGATCTCTTGATTATCTGATATCTTAGGTCTTCTATGAGTGACAGCAAAACTCTAAATTTGGATTGTTAAAGGTGAATTGTTTACTACACATCAATTTTTTATTACACCCAGAAGATTCCATCCAGATTTTGTTGAAACTGAAATTTTTACAATTTAAATTTCATATGACTTAATAAAAAGAATATAAAATTGTAAACACAAAATGGGATGTTTACTTAGAACCATTAATCACAAGTCATATATTTTAAAGGGTTAACAAATACAACCAACATTAAAAATATAGAAAAAAATCACACTATTATCTTTATTATTAACAGATAGATATACACCAAAGTTTTTTTTTCTTTTCTTATATATTCTGATTACCTCTTAATATGACAAAGGTTTTGTAGCATTATTTTCTGTAGAGAGGTTGGAAATACAATTCAGTATTTTTTCTGGTGTGACTATTTATAATTTACTTTAAATTACAAATAAAGTATTAGGCTGGGACCGGTTTGGCTCAGTGGATAGAGCGTCGGCCTGCGGACTGAAAGGTCCTGGGTTCGATTCTGGTCAAGGGCATGTGCCTTGGTTGAGGGCACATCCCCAGCAGGTGGTGTGCAAAAGGCAGCTGATCAATGACTCTCATCGATGTTTCTAACTCTTTATCCCTCTCCCTTCCTCTCTGTGAAAAATCAATAAAGTATATTTTTTTAAAATAAAAAATAAAGTATTAGAATAAAAAATAACTAGTGAGTACTATTCTAATACTGTCCTTGATAACCAAATCTGAAAAGCTTTCCTCTCTGTGGTGTTGTCCATGGTGCTAATGTGAGGTTAGCATCCTGTTTCCAAGTGACCGGAAGGGCAGACAGAATAAGAAGGCTTTAAAAAAAAAAAAAAATCCTGCCAAAACCGGTTTGGCTCAGTGGTAGAGTGTTGGTCTGCGGACTGAAAGGTCCCAGGTTCAATTCTGGTCAAAGGGCATGTACATTGGGGGCACATCCCCGGTAGGGGATGTGCAAGAGGCAGCTGGTCGATGTTTCTCTCTCATCAACGTTTCTAGCTCTCTATTTCTCTCCCTTCCTCTCTGTAAAAAAAAAAGTCAATAAAATATATTTTAAAAAATGGATTATAATTTTTAAAAATAAATAAATAAATAATAAAAATCTTATATCTCCTCAGAACAACATAGCACTATTGAGTATCTATTACATCCTATAAAGAACTTAAATCTTAGGCCACAGCATTAAGAACTCCTGGATTTGGTCTCCTAAGTTCTCTTCTAAATGACCTATTTTTTAAAAATATTTTTTATTGATTTCAGAGTGGAAGGCAGAGGGAGAGAGAGATAGAAACATCAATAAAGAGAATCATTGGATTGGCTGGCCTCCTGCAAACCCACACTGTGGACTGAGCATGCAACCCAGGTATTTGCCTTGCCCGGCAATTGAACCGTGACCTCCACCTCCTGGTTCAACCTACCAACCACTAAGACACGCCAGCTGGGCAAATAACCTTTTTTAAAAACTTGATTTTTATTATTGACACTATTACATTTCCCTGACTTTGCCCACATGCATGCAGCCCCAGCCCAATTCCCTCTGGCCATCACCACAATGTTGTTGTTCTTTGACTAATGCCTTCACCTTCTTTCATCCAGTTTCCACCACACCCCTCCCCTTTGAGATCTGTCACTCTGTTCCACATCTCCCTAATTCGGGTTCTGTTTTGGTCATCAGTTTATTTTATTCAATAGATTCCACATATAAGTGAGAGCATATGGGATTTGCCTTTCTTTGACTGGCTTATTTTGGTCAGCATAATAATTTCCAGGTCCATCCGTACTGTCATAAAATGTACCAGTTCCTTCTTTTTTACAGCTGCATAGTATCCATTATTAAATGTACCACAAATTTTTTATCCACTCATCTACAGATAAGCACTTGGGCTGTTTCCAGATCTTGTCTATTGTAAGTAAAGCTGCAATGAATATAGGGGTGCATATACTCTTTCTAACTGACATTTCGGGATTCTTAGAATAAAATTCCCAGAAGTGGCATTGCTGGGTCAAAAGGCAGCAGAACAGAATAGAGAGCTCAGAAGTTAACCCACATCTTATGGTCAATTAATATTTGACAAAGGAAGCACAAGTACACAATAAAGACAATTTCTTTAATAGCGAGTATTGGAAAAATTAGACAGGCACATGCAAACAAATGAAACTAATCCACCAACTGGCACCATGCACAAGAGTAAACTCAAAATGAATAAAAGACTTACATGTAAGTAATAAAACCCTAAAAACCCTAGAAGAAAACAATAGTCAGTAAAACCTCAGACATCTCTCATAGCACTATTTTTATTAATATATCTCCTAGGACAAGGGAAACAAAGGAAAAAAGTAATCGAATGGGACCACATCAAACTAAAAGGCTTTTGAACATCGTTAACAAAATGAAAAGTGAACCCACACTGTAAGACAACATATTTGGCAGTGATAGATATGATAAAGTAGTAATTTCCTCCTAAAAATAAACAAATCAATTTAAAAAATGGGCAAAGGCTCAGTTAGTGTTGCTCAATGGCTGAACTTTGACCCACGAACCAAGAGATCACGGTTTGATTGCCGGTCAGAACACATGACTGAATTGAGTGTTCAATCCTCAGTAGGGGGCTTGCAGGAGGCAACTGATCAATGACTCTCTCTCATTATTGATGTTTCCATTTCTCTTTTCCTTTCTCTTTCCCTCTTTGAAATCATTAAAACCTATTTTTTTTAAATGGGCAAAGAACCTGAATGGGAATGGACACTTCCCCAAAGACGACATAAACCTGATCAATAAATATGAAAAAATGCTCAAATCACTAATCATCAGGGAAATGCAAATTAAAACTACAGTGAGATGTCACCTCCCATCTGCCAGAAGGGCAACCATCAATAAATCAACAAACAAGGTCTGATAAAGATGTGACACAAAGGGAACCCTGTACATTGTTGGTGGGAATGCAGACTGGTGCAACCATTGTGGAAAACAGTATGTTTCCTTTAAAAATAAAAAGTGGAATTCCCTTTTGACTCAGTAATCTTACCTTTTTTTGTTTAATAAATGCGTTGTAGATCAAAATCCTTCTGATTGATGAAGCATAAGTTTACCTTAGATTTTCTCACCAAAACTTCTGAATTGCTTCAGGTTTTCTAACAGAGATGCTTATGCAACAAAGGTTAAGCCTGGAGAAGTACTCAGTTTTCTGAAATATTTCATATGCAGATCATGCAACAATTATTAAAATATTTTACTTGTTTTTTCCCCCAAAGAAGCAAGATGCTGTAAAAGTTGTTCAGACTGCAAAAATATTATTTTCATTTTTGTAAAACTGCAATTGTGAAACAGACCTACACAATGGTCACATAAGCCATATAGTAAGATGAACTCAAAAACACCAATTTGAAAGCGGATATGCAGCCCTATGTTCACAGCAACGTTTGTCACAATAGCCAAGCTCTGGAAACAGTCCAAGTTCCCATCAGTAGACGAGTGGATTAAAAAAAAAAAAAAGCTGTAGTACATTTACACAGTGGAATACTATGTGGCCATACAAAGAAGGAACTCTTACCTTTTGCCAACACATAGATGGACTTGGAGATTATTGTGGGAGCGAAATAAGCCAGTCATAGAAAGACCATATGATCTCACTTATATGTGGAATCTAATGAACAAAATAAACTGATGATCAAAACAGAACCAGAGGCAGGGGTACATAGAACAGACTGATAGTTGTCAGAGGGGTGAGGGTCAGGGAAAACTGGATGAAAGAAGGTGAGGGGTCAACCAATGAACACATACGCATAACCTATAGACATAAAGACAAAGGTCCTGAGCAGACACTTCTGTGTAACTGTGTGGTGATGGCCAGAGGGAAGGGGGGTGGAGGATGTGGGCAAAGGTGTGGGGAAAGGGAACATCTGTAATAGTGTCAACAATAAAAATAAACTTAAAAACCAAAGATTGATTGGAATCTTCTTACTCTTCTCTCACAAAATAGACAACATTAGTACAGGAATAAGTCAATAACAGTTAGTAATTATTATGAACTAGAGGCCCAGTGCACAAAATTCATGCACGTTAAAAGGAGATTAATTAGACGAAATATTTTAATATTGCTATTTGCCCTTTCTCTATAATAGAAGTGTCAGAGTTGAAAGAAAATTAGTAAAATGTATATGAAAACCTTCCTCCTGTCAGAGTCTGGGGCAGGCCACGGGACCCAGAGTCAAGTCCCCATCCACCCACATGCACCTCGAAATTATGCAACACCCAGGCCCTGCCAGCCTCACCCCCATTGGGATAGATCCAGACCTGGTTGGCCCCACCCTCATCAAGCCACAGATGTCAAACCACATGCTGCCATTAGCAAACAAGTCAGTATCAACTCATGCGGATTCTGAAAATACATATCAAGATCTATGTCTTAGCCTTAGGCATGCTGTGCTATTAGCATGCTGTTGTTGTTGCATGTTAGAGCACACACTGAGAGTGAGTGACACTGGTGCATATCTTGGTTCTGTCATCAATTAAACATACGAAAGTTCACAGTCATGTCTGCAGTCATACACATGTCATATTCTCATGCGTGTCATGGTCACCTGTGCGGGTGCTGATGTATCGATACATGTTGGTGTTCGTGCAGACAACTGCCCTGGGCAGCGGTTTGATGGGAACTGTGGTCTAAGCCACTGCTCAGGCCCTCAGTGCTCTGGCGCCCCCTACAGGAGAATCTCTCACTCACAGCTGGGAGACTAGGGGTCCTTCCCAGAGCCCTGAACCCCAACTCTCCTACACACATCTCTATAAGAGCTCAGTGAGCAAGTCTGAGAGGCCACTTCAGGTTTCAGAGGTGTATGCACAGCCCTCACTGTCTAGCTGGTCCCTCTGCTTCTGCTTCTCTCATAATCTGCACAGTCACATGAGTATTCTCAGTTAGCCCTTACTTCAAAATGTCAGAAATAAAGAAGAACGGCCAGAACTGTTTTGGCTCAGTGGTAGAGCGAAACTGGTTTGGCTCAGGCCTGCGGACTGAAAGGTCCCGGGTTCGATTCCGGTCAAGAGCATGTACCTTGGTTGCGGGCACATCCCCGGTAGGGGGTGTGCAGGAGGCAGCTGGTCAATGTTTCTCTCTCATCAACGTTTCTAGCTCTCTATCTCTCTCCCTTCCTCTCTGTAAAAAAATCAATAAAATATATTTTTTTTTTAAAAAGAAAGAAAGAAAAGAAAGAAAGAACGGACATTTGGCTGCATACTGTCTTGTTCACCTTATCCTAACTTACCATCCATCAGAGGCAGGAACCTGACTCCGTGTGTCCATGAGCCCTGACCTCATGGAGCACCTCTCGTCTTACAACACACAGGCTCGCCATCCACAATGCCACAACCCATGGTCCAAGCAGCTGCACAGGAGAGACTCCATCTAACTTGCTTGATGGCCAAGCCGAGCCTGACACAGGCTCCTGTGGTGTCTGCATGCCCCCCACTGTGGTGTGAGGGGCTCAGGTTTCACTGGGGAACATGGATGAGCTTGATTCCAGGAGCTGCCCTGAGCCCAGCGGGGCCTGATACCATCTGTGCCACCCACGGGTCACCTCCCCACAGTCCCACTCCTCCCAGGTGCTCCCACACTCACATCTGGTGAAGGGCTGTAGGCTGCATTTTCTCCTGTTTCTTCTCTGTCTTACAGAGAATACATTGCAATGACTATGAGATTAGAGATTACATACCGGCATGGGGAAGTTATGCTGTGTATGAATTTCATTTCATAATAATAAAGGAAATATTGTAAAACATTAAAAATGTTAAAGGAGGATAGTGGATTGAAAAGACTTCAGAACAGAAAGTCTAAGCCAGTGGTTCTCAAAGCATGTTCCCTGACCCCTGGGGGTCACTGATGTCCTTTCCTAAGGTCCACAAAGTCAAAACTATAATAATAATAGTGAGAGATTCTGTTCCTCACTCTTCCCCACAGTGTGAGGTGGAGTGTTCCAGAGGCCACATGATATATGATGAAGTCATTGCTCTGATATTAACATGGAACGGATTTATTGTTGCTATTTTTGAACAAATACATAAACCTCTAAAAATGTCTTGGTTTTGAATTTGTTTAAAGTGAAGATGAATAGCTATCCCATGGTGCACCGGTGCCAGCCCCTACTGGACGCGGAGAACCACATGTTCAATTCTTAGGCATGTGAGCCAGTTGTTAAATCTTTGGTAGCTTGAGATGGGCTGTGGTGGGAGTGT